TTTTGAAGGATATCTGTCCCTAGATACATCCTATGCCTGGTTCATCCTCCTATCCTTATGTTTCTCTCTGTTTCAGAGCTTCTTTGTTTGGGATCTTTTCTTTAACTCTGTATCGCTACTCGATTTTTATTCAATAACCCCCGCCTTTCTCTCTCTCTCTCTCTCTCTCTCTCTCTCTCTCTCTCTCTCTCTCTCTCTCTCTCTCTCTCTCTCTCTCTCTCTCTCTCTCTCTCTCTCTCTCTCTCCACAATTTATTTTAGAATATTTTGTTTATCATTCCCGGATTTCTTTCATTCGTTTGGTTCTGTCTTTCTCCACTCTTCCTTTATTCTATTATCGCTGTCTCTACATCTTCAAATGCGTTCTCCTCTTCTCCCTCTAGTATTCTGTTCTTTAAACGTAACATCGGTAATCATAAGATTCATGCGTCCATATTTTATATACACGTCCATGTACCGTACATATGTTCAAGCACCATTGTTAAGTCCATGTCCCATATATGTACATGTATGATCCATATATACGTCCCGGGCTTACGTCCATGTCCCGTCCTGCGGGACGGTCCACAAATGTTTTTCCCTGGTTTTTGCTATTGACATTTTTTTTACAAGGATAATTTAGCTGATTGTGCCATGTTTCCGCCTCTCCCTGCTCTAGACGCCAGGGGCGCCCCCTGGGCTCTCAGAGGCCAGGGGCGGCCCCTGGGCTCTCAGAGGCCAGGGGCGGCCCCTGGGCTCTCAGAGGAACAACAATGCTAATAAGTACGATATATTAAAATAGATTTGGATAATTAAGAACATATATTACACAAATATTTATTGATCACAATACAGGTAATATATATATATATATATATGTGTGTGTGTGTGTGTGTGTATATATATAATTTTGCATCACACATATTTCCTTAAAGAATATTAAGATACAACGAATATATACAAAAATATCTTTTATCATCTAGCTTGCCTCCAAGACATCATCACCCTGACATGTCTTCACGCTTGTGGATCCGTTTTCCTCTGCTGTCAGAGTTCCGGGGCCAGGATCAGTCAAGCAACCTCTTACGAAACCTGTACATCTTTCCTTAATTGTGGCGGCTTTGTTTAAATTTGTTTAACAGTTTACGAGCTTTGGAACTTCAGAATCCAAGGTTGTGAAATTCCAAACTTTATTAACTGTTTAATAAATGTAAACAAAACCACCGTGACTGAGAGAAGATGTACTGATTTCGTAAATGTTTGTGTCAAGACTCCATGAGTCCTAGCCCTGTTTTCTTGACTTGACAAGCATCAAATCTGAAGTGGATTTTTACCTAATTGAAATCATGCGAGCCTAAGCAACCCAAATAACCTACAGAGACCGATGCTCATTAGTCTGAGGGAACGTTAATATTGCAGTGATTTTTAATGTTACTAGACACCGGAATTTTGACGATATACGATAGCGTCAAAATTGCTGTGCATTGTGAGGACAAAGTGGCTAACATTATTCTCTCTCTGTTCTCAAACCATCAATAAATGTTTTAGATGCGATCGTCTAGCTGGAGTTATAGTTATCGAGGTGATGATAATACTATCAGTCATAATTATAGTTATTATTATTGTTATTATTATTGTTATTATTCCTGTTGTCATCTGTATTACAAAATGTTGTCTATAAAGGTTGTAGGAAACAACCAACTTAGCCGATAACCTGGAGAAAGACGTAGCTATTCACAAAATAAAACTAATGCCGTAGTAGAATTGTTTAGGTTAATATAATCATTAGGGAAAGTATAGGTCAATGCTTCATATGAAAACTAAATGTAAGTGCATCAGTATAGAACATTATTCCGGCTATTTCAGTAAGGATTGTTGACCGTTGTAATCCGCGTGTGTCAAGGTGAAGGACAGTTTGTAGTGGGTGAGGAAAATTTATGTTAGTTGGCAAATGTCTGCTGGTTGGCAAATGTCTGCTGGTTGGCAAATGTCTGCTGGTTGCCAAATGTCTGCTGGTTGGCAAATGTCTGCTGGTTGGCAAATGTCTGCTGGTTGCCAAATGTCTGCTGGTTGGCAAATGTCTGCTGGTTGGCAAATGTCTGCTAGTTGGCAAAGATCTGCTGGTTAGCAAATGTCTGCTAGTTGGCAAAGATCTGTTGGTTAGCAAATGTCTGCTGGTTGGCAAATGTCTGCTAGTTGGCAAAGATCTGTTGGTTAGCAAATGTCTGCTGGTATGTCTGCTGCTTGCCAAATGTCTGCTAGAGTTGAGGTTATAGGGTGACTTCAGAAGCCTTTTCTGCTTGGAATTGTTTGGTGATATTATTTCTTACTGTACATAGTGAGGAGACTGCGCCCCCCCCCCCCCCCCCCACACACACACACTGTGCATTTGTGGTAATTAATTAGACGATAATTACACCTTGTGTAACTATCGTCTCCCGCACTAATACTACTTTTTCCTTGGCTGCAGTTGGCGTCGATTAGTGTGATGGTCATACGGGAAGCTCTTGAGATTTTGTCTTGTTTATATTGTTTGTTTCATTATTATTATTTAGCCAGATGGTTTAATGCTAACAGTTGACATACTTTATTTACAAAAAAAAATGTTTGCGTCCTCGGCTGAAATATTATGTTGAGGGTCTTGAAAAAGGTGTGTGTGTGTGTGTGTGTGTTCCTTTACAAAGCATATAAGCCTGAATTGATTTTAGTTCCTCATTCTTATTAATGATTTTTTTTTTTTTTAGTTATATCAGGTGCTTCATGATCAGTAATGTAAGGCTTCAGTCTTGCTGCATTGATCAGTAACGTAAGGCTTCAGTCTTGCTGCGGTGATCAGTAATGTAAGGCTTCAGTCTTGCTGCATTGATCAGTAATGTAAGGCTTCAGTCTTGCTGCATTGATCAGTAATGTAAGGCTTCAGTCTTGCTGCATTGATCAGTAGTATAAGCCTTCAGTCTTGCTGCGATGATCAGTAGTGTAAGTCTTTAGTCTTGCTACATTGTCCTGACGGAAATTGCACTGGACGAGGTGGGGGTTTCAGTTCTTCTCTTTGAACTTATTAATTCTGTCTTCAGTCAATAATTGACATAGGTCATTATTATGGACATGAAGGATGTCACTTGTGCTGACCTTAAATATATATTTGCGGTCTATATATGTGTTCTCACATATCGTAGAATTTCATCTTTATTTCTCACAATATCGAGTGCGCTAATTCTAACTCTGGTTGCCATATACTTGACTATGGAAAATCCGTTACTAAATCTTTTAAAGATGATTTATAGAAATCATTCCCCTATGCATCTAGTGCCCCAAACATGGCCTTAACCTTGCTACACCGGTGAGGTTAAGATGCCCAGAATTTGCAATCCTCATAGTCTGTTTAAAACGCGAAATCAGAAGATCAAGAAAACAGAATAGAGTAGACAGTGAATGAGGGGAAGGGATGGAAGTAGACAGTGAATTAGGTAGGAGGGATGGAAGTAGACAGTGAATGAGGTAGGAGGGATGGAAATAGACAGTGAATGAGGTAGGAGGGATGGAAGTAGACAGTGAATGAGGGGGAGGGATGGAAGTAGACAGTGAATGAGGTAGGAGGGATGGAAGTAGACAGTGAATTAGGTAGAAGGGATGGAAGTAGACAGTGAATTAGGTAGGAGGGATGGAAATAGACAGTGAATGAGGTAGGAGGGATGGAAGTAGACAGTGAATGAGGTAGGAGGGATGGAAGTAGACAGTGAATGAGGTAGGAGGGATGGAAGTAGACAGTGAATGAGGTAGGAGGGATGGTGACAGTGAATGAGGTAGGAGGGATGGAAGTAGACAGTGAATGAGGAATGAGGTAGGGGATGGAAGTAGACAGTGAATGAGGTAGGAGGGATGGAAGTAGACAGTGAATGAGGTAGGAGGGATGGAAGTAGACAGTGAATGAGGTAGGAGGGATGGAAGTAGACAGTGAATGAGGTAGGAGGGATGGAAGTAGACAGTGAATGAGGTAGGAGGGATGGAAGTAGACAGTGAATGAGGTAGGAGGGATGGAAGTAAGGAGGGCAGACAATCCGACGGTTCGATTCGTTTGCTATTACCGCCCGTTCACTTTTCTTGTCCTTATTTCTTCCTTTTGAGACGGAAACACTTGCCGTCAACACACTCACGGCGCTGAAAATTGTGACGAGTGATTCAATGGTTTCCTCTTAAATATTCATGCTGTCGAGGGGGTTCGGGTTACTGAACCTTTCTGACATAATGAAGCATTTCCAGGTTACCGAACCAGTCAATGCTCGTTCATCCAGCCTTTCTTCGACCTTTTCAACGGCGTTCTCGTCAGGATTGCGGGGGGGAATGGTAAAAAAAAAAAATAAAGCTAGTGACTGTATATAAAATTGGAAACACGTGTTTTTTATATGCGTTTGATGTCATGCTGCTATTCTCAGTTTTTCTATGACAAATGGTTTTTTAACGCAGTCTGTGTATGTGTGTATAAGCCATCTATATATTTGTTACACTAGTCACATACATACATACATACATACATACATACATACATACATACATACATACATTCATACATATATATATATTATTATATTATGTATGTACCTAGTAGCCAGAACATACATCTCGGCCTACTATGCATAGGCCCGATTTGCATAATAAGCCAAAATTTCCTGAATTAATATATTATCATATTTTTTCTTTGAAATTCAAACTACCCATTTTATTATATATGAGGTCACTTTTTTTATTGGAGAGTTAAATTAACTGCAAGATATATGACCGAACCTAACCAACCCTACCTAGTACATATCGTAACCTATCTTATAGGTTATAGATTAGGTTACGAAAAAGTTAGGTTAGGTTAGGTTAGGTAGGTTAGGTAGTCGAAAAACAATTAAATTCATGAAAACGTAGCTTAATAGGCAAAATCAGGCCTTGCATAGTTAGGCTGAGAAGTGCGTTCTGGCTACTAGGTACGACATATATATCTATATACATTCATACATACATATATGCATACATACATATATGCATACATACATGAATAGACAATTATCATATTTTCAAATAATTTTATATATTTCACTTCATGGCTGTATTAAAGGCATGCAAAAAATGACTAGTACAATCGTTACAAATAAGTTACATATTTATAGTGCAAATGAAACTTTGTTACTTGGGACTATTCATAAACAATTCTGGGAAACTAGGACAAAGCACAATTGTTATATCTATCCACAATGAAGCACACAGCTCATCCTCCTAAAATGTTAGTCCTTAAAGCAACTAATTAGTCAAACGTGCAAAAAAATATTCTTTTGGACCTAGAAACCCTTCGCGTTTTGTTTTATTGAATTATCACAAATGACAAACTAAAACACTGGAAAAGTATTTTAAGAAACCAACCTAACCTGTCCAAGTAATCATAGGCTTAATATGCACCACCTTAGGCCTAATATAGTACAAATGTGTAATATTAAGCCTAGGAATGTTTAATTTTGGCTTTTCGTTTATTTTTTTGCGTGCCCTGGTCAAAATTAATAATACAAAGCGTGAATATTACTGGCTGCAAACAGTCCAGTTTTGTACGTTTGACGAAATAGTTGCTATAGGTGAAGGAGGAGGAGGATGGGCTGAAGCACACGAGTGCAACACTCAAATAATTCCTATTTGAATGAAATGACATAAGGGAAGGGAACTATCTGGGAAAAGCTCCAAGCCATTACGACTATATAGCACAGGGAAGGGGTAGGGATTTGGGATGGGACGGGGGAATCACACCGCCGTCTTCTCCGGGCCGTTCATGGTCGACATGTCGAAGTTGTCGGTCTTCCTGACGGTGGAGATGAAGTGCTGACCGGAGGAGTGGAAGTGGAAGGTGGTCCAGGTGCGGCTCTGCGCCGCCTCCGGGCACAAGCAACAGAAGAGATGGCGGTTGAAGTTTTTCCTGAAGGTGCCGCTGATGCAGTAGAGGGCGATAGGGTTGATGCAGGAGTTGATGAACCCCAGGCAGAATCCGATCCATCGGAAGGCGTTCCAGAAGTGGTTGTAGTCCCTCTCGACGTTGGGGTTGAAGTAGAACCACAGGAGGAAGACGTGATTGGGGAAGTAGCAGATGGCGAAGATGACGACGAACGCCAGCACCAGCTTGGCCACCTTCCTGCGGGCGGCGACGTGCCTGACGTAGTGCCGCTGGTGCTGCGCCTCGCCGGGGAGCGAGGCCGCCGCCTGCATCAGGTGGCGCGCCATCAGGAGGTAGAACGTGGTGATGATGAGGAGCGGCAGGAGGTAGTAGACGGCGAACTTGGCCACCACGTTGATCCTCGGGTACGATGGCCCCAGCAGCGGGTGGAACGGGTAGCACACCACGATCTCCCCGTTGCCGGTGCCCGCAGCCCGCAGGTTGGAGAAGATCCCTGCGGGGGCGGCCAGCACCACCGCAAGTACCCAGATGACGGCGGTGACGGCCATGGTGCTGCGGTGGGCCACGGCCCCCGCGCGCTTGCCCACGGGGTCCACGATGGCCATGTAGCGGTCGGCGCTGAGGGCCGTCAGCGTGAAGACCGTCACCCCCACCGACGTGTCGCGCATGAACTCCGACACCCGGCAGATGACCTCCCCGAAGGGCCACTTCTCAGTGACGTAGATGATGGAGACGAAGGGCACGGCGAAGATGACCACCAGGAGGTCTCCCAGCGCCAGGGAGAGAATGTAGGTATTGGGAACATTGCGCATGTTCGGGTACTTGGCGAACATGAACACCAGCGTGCCGTTGCCAGCCACGCCCACCACGAAGATGAAGAAGAAGACGATGGGGACGATGTAGGTCTCCGGGCGCTCGTGGATGGGGAAGTAAGGAGGCTCCGTAGAGGCCAGGAGGCTCCTGTTGTCCGGCCCCCCACACGCGCCCTCTGGTCCCACACACTCTTCTAACATGCCCATGTTCGCGCCTAGTCTTCCTGGCCCCTCTTTTTTTATCTAATATTTCACAGTACAAACCTTTTTACCTTTATTCCTTCTGTCTGACAATTATTTCTACTTTACTATTTCTCCTTTCTGCTATTCGGGTACTAAGAACACTCACAAAAACACAGGTAATTGTTTAAATGCTTTTCTGTCTTCACTCCAGGCGAACACTAGACCTTTGGCAGGTTTATTTTAATCTGAAACTAATCCACAAGTCAATCAAGTCGTTGTGTATGACGGCCACTTCACCCAATGCTGATGAGGACCCAAGGATGGGGTGGAGATGGCACCAGAACTGCTCCAAGGTGCCGCCAGTCTCAACGCTCCAGCAGGTGTCTGAAATAAATACATATGTATATCAAATAATACAAACAAATGTTGTGTAAGAATTGAAACACTTATTTTCTCGGCATACAGATTTCTACGTACAAGAGTTAATTTTAATACAAATATGCTTTCAAATTAGAGAAGTTTATTTAAACCTAGGATATGTCAAATGCACGTGGGAGACGTCTTAAAAAAAAACATATAAATTTAAGTGTATTAGTTTATTCTGCGA